CCCTCCCCATAAGTGGAAGCAATCATGTGCGTCGAAGAACCGCGACAGAAAAAAAAATAAAAAATGAGAACACTGAACCGTGACCTGTGGATAATTTATGAGCGAAGCACTGAGTCCATCTGTCTGAGAAGGAAGTTTAGGCTAAAAAACAAACAAACGGCTGCTGCCCACGCAAAGCTCGTGCCGCCATGATATCTGTTTGGTCTGCTTTGGATTTGAGAGCCATTGAATTGTGAGATTTTACTGGTAAGCCCTACATAGTGGTGCTGGGGAGGGCTGGAGAGTGTGTGTGTTAGCCCAGTCGGGCCACTGTCAGAGATGCGTACCACTCAGCGCTGCGCTCAACGTTCAACCGAATTCAACTTTGACCTTTCTGCCGCTGACCTCTCCGACGTGCAGCCGACGAGAGAAAAGCTGTATGTGACGCGAGCTGAAGCAACCAGCCGCGGAGAAAGTACTCCAGTCTCATACAGACACCACATCAGAGTGTTACTCAAGTAAAAGGAAAAGTCACCCAGTAAAATACTACTCAAGTGAAAGTAACAAAAAACCTTTTGAAATTAATTTTTGAAAAAATACCTTAGTATAAAAAGTCAAACGTACTACACATGTAAATCTATCGATCTTACAAAAGCAACCTATCCTTTTAAATCCACTCGAGGTTTGAATAGAGCGTTTGTACGTTACAGTGCAGCTCAGCTAAAACCGAGGATATGGGGATATTTTCTTTTCATTCAGGAAAGCGGTGAAAGTTGCCCAGCTTGCCGGCACAGATTAGCGGAAAGACATTAAATCGTTTTTTTGTTCTGTGGAAAACGAAAGATCGATCTACGAGCTCGATGTAATAATGAATTATAAACATGTCTCAGGCCGGTACTTTGAGACCTCATAAGTGGTGAATGAGCCATTGAAATCCCTCGTCCTCCACTATAGAAAATGGCTGTTCGTCCAATGCAATCATCTCCATTACCAGGGTCGACTCTGGGTGTTCTGGCACAATAGGTGAGACTCTGCTGAAGCCCCCCCTCCCCCAGAACAGCAGAAAACAAATTTGGTCAATTCATGTATATTAAAAACATTTCAGTATCACAGTGTATCTGGCTGCTAACTAGTTAGCTTGTGTCTGATTCACAAGAAAAGTAGTGAAATATTAAAATTAGCTTAAATGATTGCTACAAAATGCAATCATCGGTATGTTTTTTATGATTGTTTTTCACTCTCTCTTTCATGCCCCCTAATCAAACGGCGTCCTAGACAATTGCCTGTGTCACCTATAGGGCAGGTCGGCCCTGATTTCAGTACTTGTGTCTTTAGCTCTGCTGCTGATAACTTTGAATATTGATAATGTTTAATATCAGCCAATATCAGCATCTATACAATTTGTTTGTTCCATCTTCATAAAGACAAAATGTAATGCATAATAAAAAGAATAATAAAAGAAGAAAAAGAAGAAGATGAATGTTGCAATCTTGATTTTGAGTGAAAAAAATTGAGATTCATATTTTACCCAGAATTGCGCAGCTGTGCTGCATCATTTTTGCAAATAGTGTTATTTTTGGGTGAGTAATGATGGTGTTCTGCAGAATGTATTGGTGTAAAAAGTCGTTATTTGGCTCAGTGATTAATGATTAATACAATAAACAACTAAAAAAGAATGTCACCATAGGCAAGCAGTTTATGATGGCGTCTTGCCGCTTGGCTCAGTGGCACTCAGCAATGTCACTCATAAGGAAGGGCAGGGCGTAAACGCTGAGCTCGGCGCAATGCTAAACACATATCATGCGATGGCAGCTTAACGTGGATACGCCTGCTGTGGGGTCCTCTGGACGGGCATAAAACAGGCCACCTAAATGGGGACCAGGACTTGGGAGGATCAAACTGACAGAAGAACTTCCATGAGTGGTCTCAAGGTCCGTCTTTGGCTGTTTTTCCACCATACTGGTCAAAGCAAGCACAGTCATTTCTAGACCCTTTGATCTTGACGGTTTCCTTTGGAAAAATTAAAGTAATGGAAGAGAGAGTCCAGCGAAAACAACCGTGAGGCTTCTGATGTGTTGGGTGCTCGACACAAATTGCAACCAGACGAATTAAAATAACATTATATAAAGTAACTTCCCAGTCCTGCAGCTCTGGGTTTGCTACCGACGGCAGACAAACAAAGACGCCAGTTAAGCTTCTGGCTACAAGAACCTGAACATCAGAAAGCCCCTTTAACGATGACTACGTGGTATAACATAACGCAACTTCAAAGACGCTCTATGAAAGCGTTCTGCTGCATCTTTGTATATAAATAAAGATTGAGGAGAAACACCTCTGAGCTCTCCTGGTCAGGGCAGAAGGTGGTGGAAGCAGGATCAGTCACGTGGTCGGCGGCATTGGCTGCCGCATGTGTAGAAAGGCTCAAGTTTTACTGGGCAGGCAGTTCGAGGTGCATGTATGGGCACCGGGGCTGGGGTAGGGGTACGGTTATGGTTCAGGCGTGTGATGTCAGTGGTGTATGCTAATCATGCTAAAGCGGTATGATACCTGGTAGTGAGAAAGGGTGTTGAGTCTCTTCCAGTCACCCTCGATCTTGGTGGAGGCATCCTCGTCTTGGAGAATGACCCGGGCCGCCCTCCCATGGCGCCATTCTGTGGGGGGGGGAGCAGAGGTATTTCAGCCTGAATCTGAGACTAAAGTGCATTGAGCTCAATGTCAGCTCAATATCAGACATGCAGTGTAACAGTACATGTATCATGCAATTTAATTATGAGTGTGTTCAGGAGGTGGGGGTGTGTGGGTATGGTGTTGATGTTGGATGGTTAAACTAGTCGGTATCTGACCATACAGCCCATAATAATCACCCCCCTGACTCCAAGTCGACCCAACCACCCTGACTGGAGCCAGCGCGTAAATATCTTCCAGTTCAGTTTGCAAACGAAACATTTCCTTTGACATTGGAAGAATTGGGAAGGAGAAACCGAAGTGGAATTAGTCAGGGAGGAGAGAAAGCTTGTGTGTTTATGGAGAGCGCCGCCCTTGTGGTCCGTGTCTGCTGCTGCGCGTGTTCCTATAAACACGGTAAAGAATGAGAAATGTGGGTGGTAAGAGCCCAGGGAATGGGGGAAGGGGGATGGGAGAGCAAGTGGAGCTGAGATTGACCTGGAGGTGATGGGCACATATTCCACAGGGGGGGCCTGGCCCCACTGCAGACTCGTTGTCACCCTCCCCCCCCTCCGGCCACGGCCCCGGCCCCGTCTCTGAGGCGCATCAGCAGGGACAGAAATAGAAAGGGACAGAACACTCCTGTCCAATTTGTTCCAGGAGTGCCAAGAGGATAGAATTCGGCGCAATCCCATTATCCTTATCAGACGCGGCGATCCGGGGGGGCTGGACTGGGGGGGCGCTGCTCATCTCACCGAACCCAGAGATGCTCTGAGTCACTTGCTCAGCACCTGCTGTCACTTTATTTACGAAATCTTTATGCCTCGAGGAGGCCACCTCCCAGAGTCTGTGGCCCCCACCTCCCAGAGCCTGTGGCCCCCACCTCCCAGAGTCTATGGGCCCCACCTCCCAGAGCCTGTGGCCCCCACCTCCCAGAGTCTGTGGCCCCCACCTCCCAGAGTCTGTGGCCCCCACCTCCCAGAGCCTGTGGCCCCCATCTGAATGTGCGGCTTCACCCTTCCCCAAGTTTGTGGCCCCCACCTCCCAGAGTCGGTGGCCCCATCCCTCCACCAGTGTGTGGCCCCTACCTCCTCAAGTGTGTGCCCCCCCCCAAAGTCTGCAGCCCCCACCCCTCACCAAGTGTGCCCCTGCTCCCCCAGTATGTGGGTCCCATGGCTCCCCAAGACAGGAAGGTACGCGGTCGGGGGTAAGATGGGGGGGTATGCGGTCAGGGGTAAAACGGGGACGCTCACCTAGGTCCATGTCGGAGGCCTTCTGCCTGTGGGACCAGGGTACGTTCTTGTAGATGGCGTCTAGGATCTTCTCCTTCACCTGGCTGATAGTGTCGCAGTTGAGCACCTTGACCTGGATTTCTGGGCTCTTCTCATTGTCTGGGTGGATGCAGTTCACCACCTGCAGTAACGAGCGGGCCCTCCGTGAGCCACCCCGTTCTGTCTGGTGATGACGGGCACGACACCCTTATTGCCCTCCCGGCCTTTACCAGCGTCTTGTAGTCGATCTGCTGGCGAATCAGCTTGTCCTCGCTCAGCGAGTAGCGGGCCTCCCCGGTCACGGCGTCCATGGGGCCCTTCTCCATCTGCTGCTTGATTGCGCAGAACAGGGAGAACAGTGGCTCCCCGGCACACTCCTGCGGGGGGGCCGAGCAAAACGAGTGGGGTCACGTGACACCCCTGGCAGCCTCCCCCAGCTGTGCCTAATGCCACCTCCTCATGCGCACACTCCCTGGCTCTCTCTGACATCTCTGGCAAATGAGTACATCCATCCATCCATCCATCCATCCATCCATCCTGGACCCACATATTCTGTCGGGGCCAGGGGCAAACGAACAGACCTGGCGGCCTGCTGCTATATACATCACCCTGTGGCAGATGCTGTTTGCTCTGCACTGTGGATATTTGCCCAACCAGAATGAAACCCATGATCCCCGCAGAGGGAAACCACAGACAGACATGATGTGTTTGGGTCACGATTATGACCTGCAGCAGGTGATGTCACGCTGTGCATCCCGAACTACCACATGATCACGTGTCACATGATCACCAGCCCGTATCTGAGCTCATTTATTATTAGCCGGCTCCCACCGAAGGTGTCAGACAGAAACGTTGAGGGAGCAGAGAGTTCTCCTCAACGTCGCCCGGCGGGGATCGCTGGTCCTGTGGTGAGGCTTTGCTCTCAGAATCAGATCTCTATAATATTTCCATTGTGGTTTGAGACTATCATGCACTGGCGATCGTGTGACGGGCGGATTCCCCAGGGAGTCAGACCTTGAGGTCTTCTTCCCAGCTGCATGACGGCGCTCAAGGCCGAGCTGCCAAACAGCAGTTAACACAGGAGGGTAGCATCTCGCCCAAGAAGGCATCCTAGCAGCACTGATTACAGTCTCAGAGGAAGGGTACCCTCCTATCCATCTCTGCTTCCTCTAAAACACAGGTGAGTTGGTTGCACCCTCCATCTGTGAGCATCCCAGGCGACGTGGTCACCGATAATAGCATCTCTGCTATAAAAGAACCGCAAGGAGTGTCCTGCAAAGGAGCCAGCAGACATTTCCTCACCTTCAGGAACTTGTAGAGCAGAAAGGTGAACCAGTTAGTGAGCATCTTCTCTGCGACAGATTCGGTCCTGCAAGACGACACAGAGAGGTGGTGAGTGCCGTGCCCGGCTCCCTGCTAAGGTGACAGTGACGCTAACCGATGACTCCCATGACGGTCAGCTTGGCAAACGCGGCGGCTGCATCCCCAAGCCAATTTCATCCGTTTTTCAAAACCACAGAGCACAAGTAATAATCAGCGACAGTAAGACAAGTAACTGTGTGTGTGTGTGAGTGTGTGTGCAGCTGTCTGTTAGAGTGTGTCTGAGAGGGTGTGTGTGTGTCTGTCTGTTAGAGTGTGCCTGAGAGGGTGTGTGTCTGTCTGTTAGAGTGTGTTTGAGAGAAAAAAAAAGGGGAAAAAAAAAAGAGCGTGTTTGAGAGTGTGTGCGTATCTGTGTGTCCGTATGTGAGTGTGTCTCTGTATGTGTGTGTGTGTGTGTGTGCCTCTGTGCGTTTGTCTGTGTGTCTGAGACATTAAAAGACTTGAGAGTGGTGTTGTATGGGGGGGGGGGGGGATATAATTAATCTGGCAAGCGAGACACAACCGGCAGCGGGCATCAGGATTTCAGGATTACTGCATTGCTGTGTGCAGGCAGGCAGGCCGACAGAAGCCCCCCCCCCACCCCCCCGCTGAGCCACCCGGCTGCCACCTGCAGCCTCTCCATGGCAGCCCCCGGGTGAAGCAGGGAGGGGGGCACTGAAGCGGCACTGAGCCGCACCCCACCCCCCCAATGCTGGCACAGCACCTGTGGGGAATTAGCTTCTCTTCCCAGCACAGCCTGTGAGCACTGACCGTCCTGTCACCTCCAAAGGTCACCCCATCTTACCCTTCAAGCCCCGCCCCGTCACTATGGTACGGGCTCCCAGGAGCCTGTGAGGGCCCCCAGTTTCATACACTAATTAAACGCATAAAGAGAGTATTACAGTGTGTGGGGGGGCTGGCCAGCAAGAGCTGAGAACAGATCTGAAAGAAAGGCTTCTGGCCAGTCCCTCCCCAAGCCTGGCAAATTAGATGCCCACAAAGGCAGCCCCACGTTACCACGGCGACCAGCGCCCCCCCCCCCCCTTCCATTAGAGCGCCACCTAAAGGGTGAGATGAAGTGATTCCGCATCATGTGGTTTCATCTAAAGGGTCCCAGCTGGTAGCGAGTCTGGAAATGCGAGTCACAGGTGGAAGAGAGAGAGACGGCGAGAGAGAGAGACAGATAGAGAAAGAGAGAGAGAGTGAGAGAGAGAATTTTTCATCAGAAAAACAACAGCATCCAGTGAGACAGGGTTCCTGGCCTCCACCTGCCTCCCGCTTTACAGTGAGCAAAATGCTCACCTTCCCAGTACTAAAGGGTCACTTTCACTGGCCTGAATAAGATGATCTTTGATGGTCTTTTAACTCGACCATGAAACACCCACAAAATGACCACTTTAAAAAACAGCCAGGAGACTCTGGCTGGAGGGACATGAGGTACCCAGCACCGCTCCTCCCACGACGGGGACAGCGGGCGGTCCACAGTGCGGTAAACAGGCCGGCTTGGCCTGGAGGAGCGAGGAGTTCACGGCGCACACACTGGTGGAGGGTTAGGGGCATTTTGTGAAACGAGGGTCTCCCTCTTAGACCTTGGAGTGTGGTAATTAACCCCGATTTCCCTCTGTTAACGATCCAGCTGTTTAAACGTTTGAAGGCACACCTGAGAACCACATAACCGGCTTCAGGATGAAAGTGGCGTGGGTGAAGGTCAAGCAGGACAAAGCATGTTGGGTAAGGGGGGGGGCACTCTGTGCGGACGGGGGAAATTTCCATATGGCAGAGCTGGGGGAGGGAGGGGTGGGTGGAGGAATGTGACAGATGGAGCTGGCAGCCACAGGTTAGACGGTTAGACGGGCTCTGGGGCTTGGGTGGAGTCTGGCCAGATGGGTAAGTGAGGAAGCGAGCCCCCCCCCCCGCAGCTTGGGAGGGAAGTGAGTGTGAAGAGGGCCAGGAAGCAGTTGGCGATCGCGCACTGTGAGCACTGATTCGATTTAGTAAGATGGGAGAGAGAGAGAACCCCACCCCAGCCCATGAGGCTCTGCGGCTGATTCTGGAACCCTACGGGGTGTGCGGGGCACCTTGGGTGGCCTGTTTGTGCGCCATGTGGATTTCTGCCACACTCTGCTTCAGATATGTGGGCATGGAAAATAAAGAAGGGAGGTACAGTGGGTATGGGGTGGAAAGAGGTATGGAGTATGTAACTGTGTCTAGAGGGTCTAGGGCTCAGCACGAGAAAGCTGAAGAAAACATAACCTCCATCGGGGAGATCCCCAGAACCTCCACCAGAGAGAATAGCAGAACCTCTATGAAAGAGACACCCAGAACCTCCAGGGGAGCGACCAGCAGAACTACTACCAGAGAGTTACCTGGAACCTCTACCAGAGAGACCAGTAGAGCTACTACCAGAGAGACACCCGGGACCTCCAGCAAAGAGACCAGCAGAACTTCTACCAGAGAGACACCCGGAACCTTCAGCTGAGCCATCAGCAGAGCTAAAACCAGAGAGACACCCAGAACCTCCACCAGAGAGACCAGCAGAGCTACTACCTGAGAGACACCCGGAACCTCCAGCAAAGAGACCCGCAGAACTTCTACCAGAGAGACACCCGGAACCTCCAGCAGAGCGACCAGCAGAACTTCTACCAGAGAGACACCCGGAACCTCCACCAGAGAGACCAGCAGAACTTCTACTAGAGAGACCTCTCCCCCATCCACGTTTGTTACCTTGTGAAGTCCAAACCAGGGTTCAAGGCATGCTCTTTGTTAATTGGTGATAATGTGTTCCAATCCCCCCCCCGTAAGCACGCAGTAATCCCTCCCTGCAGATCGGGGCTGAGCACTGGAATATGCTCATCATCTGGCGAGCCTGAGCTCATTTTCAATCTCCGCAAGACATTGTAATGAAGGAGCAATTTAACGTGTCAGCCTGTGACAGGGAGGGAATTGTGTGTCCGTGTGTGTTTCTGTGTCTATGTGTGTGTGTGTGTGTGTGTGTGTGTGGAGTGGGGAAGGGGCTACTGAAAGCAGCCCAGAGCTGCATGTGTGTGAGTGAGCAGATGGGGGCGTGATCTTCGCGGTACAATGACACCTGCATATGCAGAGCTCTTGCATTGGGCTCCCGGGTAAATCCACACACGAGGAATAGAGGGGCCACACTGAGAAGGTCCCGCTGTCACTCAGCTCAATTATCCTGCTGCGGTTTAATTAGATTCTACAGCAATTAATCATAATTAAGCTTTAATGATGAGTCTGTCAGGGCAGTAGATGAGTGTAGGACAAGGTAAGCCTTCTGACGCCGTAGGGCGCTAACGAGCTGAGAGCCCACTGGGATGGGGCAGTGCTAGGGGGGAGCGCTCAAGATGCTCGCTGGACCACACCTGCGAAGGAGCAGCTTGGGGTGGTTCTTGCTCTCCAGGTTCTTGTGGATGAGGTCGGACAGCAGGTTCTTGAGCACGTCGGTGGCGTACTCCAGCTTGCTCTGCAGCACGGTCATGATCAGCGAGGCCACGTTGCCGCGGTCGCGCATGGAGAAGCCGCGCTGCGACTCCAGCGTGCGGATGAAGCACAGCAGGAACACCTTGTTGTTGATGAGCTGGCCGAAGAGCTTCAGTCCTTTCTCCACCTGTTCCTGCCGGTAGCCTGGAACCTGGAAGAGGAACAGAGGCCCGGGGTCAACACAGGCCAGGCTGCCTGCAGACAAACATTCAGAAAAGCCCCACTTTCTAAAATCACCAGGAGTTTGTTCTGGAAGCTTCTGGCCTGTTTTCTAGGTCCACACCTGCCGCTGTCATCTATCTATTTGCACGATCTCGCTGGGCGGTGATATTTACATCACACATTCCCTCCCCTCCTGGGTCTCAGTCCTTGCTTTCCTGTGAGCCCCCCACGTAAAGGTAAAAGTGCCCATATGGTGGTGAAAATGCTCACACAACTGCCAAGTAACTGCTGCAAGCTGCGTGTGGAAAAACACCAGGGAAATGCGAACTACGCTATGCTGGAGTGTGCCTTCCTGCAAAATGCGGCAATGGCATATGAAGACTCTTCTTCAATGACCTGGATTAGGAGACCCTGATCCCAAAAGAGGAAATGCTGTTGTACCTTCAGGTAGAGAGCTTCACTGTATACCCGACCTCGTCAATAGATGCCATCAGAAGCAGAGGTGGCTTAACCCTAAACGTTACTCAGGCACAACAACGGCCAAAGTGAAATGAAGCGTATCTAAGCAGCATGGGATGCGAACAGCTTGAGGTAAACAATGAGCTTGTCACAGCGCCGCCCGTGCCAGCCGCTCCGTGTTCCCTCAGTCTCCAACACGTGCCTTCTGGGAAGCTGTCACTTTGATCCATCGCGCTCGTTTAAAAACGAAACGCCTGTTTTTCGTTACATTTCCGCCACATAAGTGATGCTTTTTGTTGGTGTACCAGCCTGTTCACTGACGCCGCTGTTCAGTTTCCCCCCGTCTTAATGAAGTGCATTGAGACAAAAGAGGAGGACATATCAGTCTGTGTGGGGGGGGGGGGGGGGGGGAGGGGGAGATGTTAAAATAACACAGGAGATGAGAGGGAGCAATTTCAGAACATCTCACTCCCCAGCAACCATCGCCCCCGATAACTCTGATTCATATCCCCGACAAGCCGGGGGCTCTCATTCTCCCCGGAAAAAAAAAACAATCTCGACTTCCCATCACACCCCCGGCCGTCGCATCAATAACAATTAGTGGCCAATCACAGAGCAGAGGCTGGCTGACGGCGCCTTCATTAGATTTACCTCCATGTTGCCGTCTCACAGAAGAAGCTCATTTATTCCAATTAGCTCATCATTAATATTGGTTATTGCTGTTGGCCTCGCCACGCTCACAGGTTGGTAAACCACGCACCACGACACGGCCGTGCCGGGCCGCTCGAGGCAGGCGGGCCGGCAGTAGCGAATGCAGGCCGGCTCATTACGCCGCGGGAAGAATGTCGAACGGTATCTTTGTGGCAGGCGGGCCTCACGTCACGCGGGGCCTGGGCCTGAGCGGAGAGGGTATTCCCAACAGAAATACGGACCAGACGGAGAAGTACGCCTGTCTCCATCACGCTGGGCTTCCCTGCTCGCATTGTATTACAGCCAGTGGCGGCATCGTTCAGTCACAGACCAGGGCGAACCTCCAGCGCCCACCCAAAGCCCGGCGCTGTCACGCGACTCCGTCCCGATGCTCTGCTGTCAGGTGCTCATCTAGCCACAACTCACAAACCTACCTGATAGAGTTCGACTTTTGAACTAGAGTTCAAAATTAAATCAAATTGAAATCTGATCTTTAAAACTTTCCACACAATTAGAACATCTTACGGTAGCTGAAATCCTGATCGCTACATTCTATACCGGCAATCATTTAGACGGCCTGACCTCCAGGTCCCGCAGCACAGGGTGCTCCTCCATGCCCGGGAAGAGGACCCTCATGGTGTACGTCCTGTAATCCAGGAAGGGGATTCCTGCCCCGTCCAGGTCGCTTGTCAGCTCGTGGATGTCGGTCTGTAACTCGGCGAAAGCTGCAGTGGCAAAAACAAAGCCTGGTTTTGCCAGTAGCCTGCTGCTGTTACCTCTGTCTCACACGTGGGAAATGCTGGCACATGTTTATCGTGACTCCTGCCTTCCAATAGATAAAATAGGCAAAACAAATCCATAATATTTATTTTAAATAAACAAGAAAACAGAAGGCAAAATGTATTTATAGGTAGTATTCTGGGAGTCCTTTTCAGTAGTGTTTGCCAGAGGCACACAAAATAATTAAATTCAATTCAATTGAATTTATTTTTATATAGCGCCTTTCACGACAGAGTTGCCCCAAGGCTTTACATGGGTGTGTTGTGATACGTTACAGCATCATTAAAACTAATACTATGTGAAATGAAATGCAACACAAGCATTAGAGTTATTAAACTAAATGTTATGATAATAACACTCTGCATGGGGCTACCATGGGGTCTAAAGGACCGCGCAGGGTCACCCCTGCCAGCCGCTCTCACCTTCCTTGCACTCCAGCGCCACCCGGGACTCCAGGTTGTCCATCTGCATCTGCAGCCGCTTGAGGGTGAGGTCGCTCTCTCGGGACTTGCGCTTGTAGGCGATGAGCACCACCACGATGAAGAGGATGAGGAGGGCCCCGGCCCCGGCGATGCTGAAGATGGCCGTGCTGCTCAGCGGGCTGTCCGAAGAGATGTGCACCACGCCTGGGGAGAACTCGATGCCCCCCACGCGTGCCTGCGCAGACAGAGGCAAACAGCCGACACGCGCACATGTGAGACGGCATAGACACGCTCAGGCCCTACTCACACAGGCGAGTTCAGCAGAGCAAAGGATTATGGGAATATTAGGTGTACAGGGAGGGGACCGGGGCCAGTCCAGCCCAGAAGACCCCTTACTCCACAGTCCAGGTGACATTCCAGAACATTCCAAATCTTCCCTGCTTCCCTCCAGCTACTGAATCAGCACAACAAACCTGCTATTATTAGGCTTCTGTCCCTAATCCTGCTTAGCAAAGCACTCCATCTATTTTCTGCCACCGCTGTTCTTGCCGCACCCTCCCCCCTGTCCCCCCCCCCAGCCCTGTTCAGGTGCGCCTGTCCCGCCCGTGTGCTCCCCTTCCCATGCGACCAGTACCCCACACTCACCAGGACCTTGTGTCGGCCAGTCTGGTTGGGCGACTCGCAGAGCAGTTGTGTGTCGGAGACGGTTAAGGCACACGGCTTCTCTCCAATCAGAACTGTGTAGTTCAGCTTGCCGTTGCCCCCGGGGGTGGGAGGCAGGAAGTTCCGGCCCTTTGAACAAATGACTCATATATATAAAGACATACTGAACATATGGAAGGCTGACTGACATACCGTATATAGCTAAAGCACTTCCCCCCTACATGTAAAGACATATACATTATCATGAAAAGATATACAATATCTATCCTTCTAACCAATTTCTATTCTAATCATGTGTAGATCAAGTGCAGATATACAGATATGTCAGATAGAGATACCTCCATCCATCCATTTTCTATATAACCTAGTAGATACATAGAAATGTGAGATATAGATCCATCTATCCATCCATTTTCTATATAACCTAGTACAGATACATAGATATGTGAGATATTTGTCCATCCATCGTCATCCATCTTGCAGTCTACGCGGTAGGGAGAGCAGAGAGGTAGCTACCTTCAGTATGATGGGCGACCCCGGCTTCAGCTCGAGCACCCCCGACGGGCTGAGGGGCTCGAACACGGGGTTGGGGTAGTACATGAAGGAGCTGCCGTTTAGAGCCAGCGCGGCGTGCACGTCGTCCAGGATGAAGCCGAACTCGTCGGGCTTTTCCGGGGCCTCGCGCTGCCGGCTCAGGCTGACCGGGAGCTCGGGGGCCAGGCACAGCATGGTGGTGGGGGCCAGGATCCGGCACGTCTGGGGTGGGGGATGGGATCACGGTCACAGGCTGCTCACGCTAGAAACATATTGTCACTAAGTGCTAACAGACACCCAAGCATTTAAGCGAGAAGGTCTGCTGCAGGCCCCCAGACAGAGACAGATCCCCGGGGGGCAGTCAGGCATGCAAACGTAATCTATGCAATTAAAAAAGAAACTTCCGGAAAGAGAATTACAGCACATTTTCATGTAACTTCCATTGCCCCCAAATAAAGGAGGTATTTCAGAGTGTAATTAGTCTTGATCTGCAGTGGAATCTTGCACAGCCTTGTCCCGGTGCATGATTAAGCGCAGGATCGTAAAGAGCTTCAGCGAGACACATAACAACTCGATTTACTTCCTTTGCTTTGCAGACCCTAACCCTCTCTCACTTATCTCCTCATTACACAGGAAAATTTAGTGAAGCTTCACCCTGCTGGAAGGTGATCTTCCATCCTTGTTGTTCAGAGCTTCTGCCACCTTCACCTTAGAGGAGGTGGGTCCAAGCAACTAGAGGAGGAAGGACCAACCAATCAGATGTCTTGGTCCTGCCTTTGCTAGTTGCTTGGATCCACCCCCTCAACAATCTGATTGTTTATCTCTCTGAACTTGAATGCAATCCAAGAAGACCATTTTTCATTCTGCCCTCAGAACATTGTCGTGTAAATAAAACTCCCACGAGCCATGAGGTCAGTGTTGGTCTAGGGCACCTGTTACAGATATAGTCTGAATTCAGATTTTAAAGCTGGTACCAGCCCCTATTACTCAGAACCTTGCTGGGGTGGAGATCACTTCCCGACCTGACTTCTGTTTGAAATAGGCATACTGCTGGTCCTGGTGCGCATGACTGACCACAAGAAGACTTTGTGGGATGCTTTTGGTCTCCATGGTAACACTGAGTGGTTAGTCAATCACCAATACAACTCCAGTCCATACTTTATTGTCATTTTAAGGAGTCCGTGGGGAAGCAGGAATGACATGGAGAATATGATCGATGCTCGTGGGATCGCGACTGACTGGGACTGCGTTGTGAGGACCCCTGACCTCAAGTAGGTCTGGGTAACCAAAACAGGCGCGGTGACAGCCGCCATGGCTGTTCACATGCCCCCCATGTGCAGATTATGTTCAAAAGGCTCTCGGAGACATGAGACTCTGGGACTAGGGAACAATGGGGGGCTGGGTGGCGCGGGACACCACGTGACCGATCAGCCTCCGGATCAGAGCGTGGCCTTTCCAGTGGAGGCCGAAACCCGATATGCTCCCCCACCCCCCACCCCCGCCCGGAGGTAATGCGCTCTGAGGGTCCCGTTCAAATCCTCTGTGAGAACAGCAGCCATCCGTAGGTGCAGGTCCGGGAAAAGATCTGGGGGGGTGGTGGGGGGTAACACCGACACCTCTCTGTGAAGGGTGTGGGGTTTCCGGGTCTGGGCTGGGCCTTTCCAGTGAGGGCGTCCCGTGTGATGTGAGTGGAAGTTCTGTGGGAGAGGTTCTGAACTCTGTACCAGAACTGGAATGCAATCCAAGAAAACCTAACAGGAATGCTCACGTGTGCCGTTCCTTTCAGATCCAGATGAAGGAGAACAATACTCACATTGACCGTCTCCAGGCTGTTGTACCTGGCTCTGATGAGAGGGTTCTGGATGATGTCTAGGTTGGTGCCGGTGACCGTCACTGGAGTGTTGCCACTGTACGCCGAGAGAATTCAGTCACAGGCAAATTCACTGGATCACTCTGCTCATTCACTCACTAACTCATTCAATCATTTGCATCCCCTATTCTCAGGCCTTCACACAATCATTCCCTCACAATGTACTTCAGCCTTGCATAGTTCCCAGGGTCTCTCCTCTGATTGGTCAAAATGTGCCATCCACCCTTCTTCAAAAGGCTGAAGTGCCCCATACCTCTCGAGACCTGATAGGCTGAGGGGTTAAGTGTCCCAATCCCTGTACCTGATGATGCTCCACTCAGGCTCCAGCTTGAGGATGGTGGGGTCCTCCACGTACTCGAACCTCAGGTCCCGGTGAAGATGGGCCTTGTCAACCGCCACCGACACGCTGACATTTCCATAGCCGTGCTGTGAGGCCTGTGTCTTGCATGTGATCCACTGCCCCCCCCTCCTGCAGGGGACCGGACAAGAAATGCAGGTCAGGGTTTCCCACCTCCCTCACAGAACCCCTCCTCTAAACCCCTGCCCTGCCCAGACCGCTGCCCCCGATGCAGTAAAATCATTCAGACAGTCATTCCAGTGTGTAGCAGGCAGGTCGCACCATTTTCATTTAATGTCTTTCACTGCTGTAGAGAAAAAAATATCGACGTGTCTTTAGAACCTTAAATTGCTTTTTCAATGGGAGGAGATTATATGAGCATTAATGAATTGACCCATATTAAAAGTTCATCATCCACGTCAATAAACTGAGCGAGGACTGGAGTTTAATTACTAAAAAAACACCCCCCCTCGGGAGCGCGGTATTTCCTCCCGCCTGATGTCTAGCCTCAGGCTGACATGATGTCACTAATTTGGGTGCTGATTGTTCGGTTTGGGCCACATGGGCCGGACCCACCAGAACCCTCTCACCTGTGGAACGTGCACCTCTGGTCCTTGAACATGATGGAGACGTTGCTGCCGGCGTCCAGGTTGCTGCCGGTGATGTTGACGATGGTCCCGCCGGAGACAGGGCCCCGGCTGGGCTTGAGGTGTAGCAGCTTGGGGACCTGGGGGGAGCACAGAGCCCACCGACGGTGCTGACGGCTAGTATCGACCGAAACGTGCCGCACGTCCATCATCACAATCACCATGCTTCTCATTTTCCTGGATATTTGCCCCATCATCTAGTGTCATCACTGAAGCTCCATCAAATCAGATCAAATCAAATCAAATCAGAGTATTAACTACTCAGAGCCTAATTTGATTATAGCTCAAAGAATGATGGCACAGTAAATCATTATAGAAAATGATTGCAAACCAGGTTAAGCAGATACGGGGGCCGGTGTTGTGTGAGCTAAAGCAGGCAGCCGCGCTCTTTCATTCGCTCACTCACACAGGCAGGCAGTAATAATGATACTCACCACGAAGTAGTAATACTTGTAGGATGTGGCCATGAACTCTGGCCTGCAGTCTCCAACACACACCTGGACGTTCCCGGCGTACTGACTCTTCTCTGCCTTCCCCATCTCACACACGATCCTGCAAACAGACACACACACACACACACACATATTTGCATTCACATCTTTGCAGGGAATCTCCATTAATTTCTATGGGGAAAACTCAAATCCCAACAATGACAACCGTAACCCTACCAGCCCTAACCTTCATGACAAGTAACCAAATAAAATACAAGACTTTTGTCATTTTCATATTTTTGACTGTATTCACAGATTTTTATATAATTGACTTCCCCTTGTGTCCAAAGTAACAGGCTTTCACTACATTGTGGGGACTAAATGTATACTTCAGCACAGACATGTAAACTGTGCAGTTTGGCTGGAAAATGCAAAGATGTGTCACAGTGCTCAGAAATGGTGTCCCAGTGCTCAGAAATGGTGTCCCAGTGCTCAGAAATGGTGTCCCAATGCTAAGCTGCCTTATTTCCAAACACAAAATTAGCTCTTAACCTTTAAGCAGCTTCTTTCAAAAGCTCCTTAGACTTAAAGGGCTGCGGCTCTGGGCTGATCCCAGTGCTGAACCAGCCGCTTATAGAAGGTTTTTCATGCATATTCATGATGCATTTGATGTCAAAGGTCCCAGAAGTGCTGCATAAACCCCATCATAACCTCCCACATTATTCTGTTTTACAGTTTCAGTCTCAGCAAGGACTATTATATTTTCTCAGTGTTTTTTTTCCCCAAAAGGGCAATTTTAGGTCATAACGTATAAGCCAGGGAGTGTTGAGGTCCAGCGATACAACCTGACCCCCCCGTTGCTCAGGAGGAGAAGATTAATCATGAGCAGACGTGTTTACCGATACGAGACACCAATAGACACTGAGCAAATGCCATTATCCCCGTTCCATCATCACATTGACGTGTCTGTGACCGGGCTCTGCAGGGGGCTGAGGCTGCATCGTGCGCCATCTAGTGGTGGTCGTGCCGAAGTGCGCTGTGTCCCGTGGTCACTCACTGCTCAGCAGGGATGTAGCCGTCAGGAACCGGGGTGCAGTCCACCTCCGCCACCCTCACGTGACCCTGGATCTCCCTGAACTCCAGGCCCAGGTTCTCCCCTCGGATGGTGACCAGGGTGCCGCCCTCACGGGGTCCTCTAAGCGGGGTGATCTGGAAAGCGGGTCACCGTGGAAACCGTGAGCGCAGGCACGTGCGTCTGTGTGGAAATACTGGGGAATGCTACAGGGTGCGAATCACAGCGAGGGTCACTGGTCATGCAGCTTCACACTTTCCAGCGATTTGTCTTGGGGAACGGACAACAGATAAGGAAACGGAAAAGATAAACAAGGCGACTAACAAAAACGTTAGACAGTAAATAAGCGAAATGTGCAGTGTATGGTGCAGGGTTGGGTAACAGCAGAGTAATTATGTTCATTTGCTCTTGGGGGGGGGGTACTGTCAGTTGTTGAGGGGGCCCCTGCTTAGGGAATAAAAAGCTATCTTTGTGACTCAAAGTGCTGGTTTTCCATGACCAGAATCTCACCCCACGAAGAATAGGCTGAAAGATGCTTACAGAAGAATCCAGAGCCTATTTCTGTCACTATTTATACGGTTTAAAAATAAAACAACAGACTTTGTAGAACACAATTTAAAAACTGCACAATACCAGTCACAAGTGTTGCAGCCCCATCATAACGCAACGCGGCTCTGATTGGCTCAGTTAAGGAGCCGTTGACGACCTCATTAATTAAAACTGCATTCCTAAGCAAAAAATGTGCTTTCTGAGCTGGCACACGTTGCCACAATTTAATTCCCCAAATTAATTAAGTTTTTCTTGAAATAATTTTTATTTCCCAAGTTAATGTGCCTTTAACATGGCTTTAAGCACAAAGCAGCACGGTTATAGGGAATTCTATAAGAGTCTTTGAGTTTAGAAGCTCATCCATGTCACATTGCTTCCGCCCAATGGCCATTTAGACGGAGGGACTAACAGTCCCCAGCCCAGCATCCTGCGAGCAAACCTATCCAATCAGACATCTCCCTAGCAGCCAAAAAAAGATTGTTTTTTTTTATCTGCGGGGCACAGTCACATCCCAGTGAACCGCAACATCACGTGACACATCCTCCAGTCCCTGTTTGTTCATTAAAATCCCAAAAGTGTCAATGGGCGGGTGGTGGGGGGGGGACTTTATAATATACTTGAAGGTTCAGTGATGTAACAAGCCCCTAGAAGCAGCCCCCTAATTGAACACAGTCTCTAAAGTCAGCCAACATCCTTAAACCGCATGAGTGTACCCAGCCGCTGAAATCTGGGATACAGACTACACTTCCTCAAAGACAGATGTGTACGTGAGTTTCGTTCCTATGAGTGGGGGTGTCAGACCGGCCTGTGGGTGTGCGAGTCTCACACACCCCTCCCCGCTCAGATTCACAGCTCCATGACATATTACAGGCACATGCTGCCTGTCTGTCAGGCCAGGGTGGGGGGGCTCTCATATGATAGGGTTTGTGACATTGAAATGCTCCTTCTCTGCCTTTAAGATCCAGTTATGAAACTTCGGAATGGATGTTGCAGTGGCCTCATTTGTTCATTTATTTATATTTTATATCCATATATATTTTATAATTGAGAAAGCCAGTCAGTCAACCAGTCCCTGGAACAACTGGGGGTTAAGGGACTTCCTCAGGGAGCCAATGGTGAAATTGCTCTGCCAATAATGGGATTTGAACCAGCGACCTTCCGATCACACCGCATCCTGACCCACTGAGACACGAAATGCCCCCAAAAACATGCACTTCCTCATTAGGGAATCAATCTCCAGTCTCCCATGTGCCAGGAAGTGATATTAATCACTATAGTAACAAGGATCGCTCTTGTAGAACCAAGAATCAACACAAAAGACTTCATTTGTTTCCCTGGCACACAGCTGGGGCGGAGGGGGAACTCTCCCTGTTACTAAGACGTGTTACAAACTGAAGTGCAAAAGCTGGGAAGATGAGCAACAAGATTCCAGAGGAGGGGTTTTGAACCCAGAAATGGGTGGAAATTGAGCATCACTGTCGGAATCACACTGTTGCACCGCACTGAGCTTCTCATGGAGAAAGCGAACCATCTCCTTAACCAAAGATGTGAAGACCAGTCCAATGAATACATGGATACACCTATGTTAATGTTTTCTGTGGTCATCAACAGGTTCTAGCCTCTCAGGTACCAAGCTTCCATGCCTCTGGTCTTCAATTTAATGGAGGTGCTCCTGACTGAAATGGCAGTAACACTTATAAAAATGGAGCAGGTAGGGCAGAAAGTTCTGGAAAGCATCTTCAGGACAGCTCACGGGCTTGGAATAGGGACAGTGGGCTATCACCTCGGTTTCCAAACGCCCAAATCCCACCGTCACAGAGCACGTGACCTTGACGCCTGGCTGACTCATGAAGGACAAACGCGGCAATGAAACAGACCCAACTGGCATCCGAAGCCGTCAAGTAGCAGAAGCGTTATGAAGTTAGCCGGAACCTGCTGGAACATTCTATTAGCTTATTTGGCTCATGTAAGGTACAAGCATGGAGGGAGTTTCTGAGCGGGGTGCTCATCGGACATGGTTTTACACATTTCGATAAGCCACTGGGTAACTACAGGCCAAATTAATTGCCGTCTTCCATTGGCCCAGCACCACGAGGTGCCTCAGACACTGCCAATACAGACAGAGCATGCAGGCCCTGAGGATATCCCCTCACTGCGCGCCTCACTGCGCGAGCTGGACGTTCTCGCCGACGCCGCGCTGATCCCTGCCGCTTAATGAAATGCTTTAGGGACGCTTGTCAGCACCCAGATCGCTTTGATGTGACTCCGTGCCAGATCCGAATGCGACAGGGCCTCAGATATGAGGGGGAATGTGAGCCCATGTCAACAGGAACCCACACATATGTGGGCAGGAGTGGAGGCTCGAGGAGTGCAGGCCGGCGGGAGGGCTCAGGCGGCGTAGTAGAACGTTCTAGCACTCCCCCGGAGCCAATTCAGGCCTTCAATTATTCAGTCATTCATATAACTCTCCAAGCACATGATTACATTATTACTGTAAGATCCTATATTATATACTATTACACGTTATTATATACATATTCCATTTCCGCCAAGAAGCTGAAATTCTGACCAGTGACAGAGACAGATTGCAGCTATTTCTGGGATCTGGACGCAGGGTGATGAGGTGTCTGGTGACCTCAGTGGTGACCTTTGAACAAGCTGTTTTTTTTTTTTTCTTTTTGCAGAAGCAAAGTGCCTTTCCAAATGGTCCTTGGCAGGACGAGCGAACAGACCACGGAAATAAAGAAAAAAATGTAAAGAGTCGGCGTAACGCTCACGACAGGCAACCTAATTGAACCGATCTCTGTGGAGACGGCCGTGCCTGAAGCTGCCAAGTGGACACTGGGAAGGGGGGTGGGGGGGGCGGACGAGGCTGGGAGGGGGGAAGGGGCACGCGCCAGTCATTAAAATTTCTCACATCCCTCCCATCGCCTCACAGCTGAAACTCCAGGGCTGCTAATGAGAGGTTGGATTCTTTAATTCGCCTTTGAGGTGCGCGCCGGTCTCTGGAAGAGGTGTGGGACCGTGTGACGAGCACATGCTGATCCCAAAACGACAGGACCTCAGACCTTTTCACAGCTTCTGCTCTTCCTGCTGCGCGGATGACTGTTTTTATGAGTGCGACTAAGAAGAAACAGACAAATCATCTCGGTGGACTGCTCCGCTGTCAGAAGAACTGTTTGTCAGATTGATGCACACGCCCATCCATCATCCCCAGAACAAGCCCCTGATTGGCATGTTGTGCCATCAATCAACCCAAGAGCTAGGTGCTGAGTGGCTACCATGGGTCATTAGGGGCTTGAAGGACCTTCGGGGCATTACTACACCACTAAATAGGCCGCATCATCTATTATCTGCCAAAAACTACATCCCCCCAGCCTGATATAAGTCTCTGAGGAGGAGTAGTTAATGCTCTGCCTTGTTCCTCTTCCACCAGCCCAGATCTTGAAAGGAGGTGAAGGTCCTTATTATCACAGAGGGATGCTGGTAGCTTTGGGGGACGTCCAGCCAGTGAGAATCAACCGGACTGGCACTACCTTCAGTGTTACCACTAACACAAGTGTCCAAAGCTGCTCTATTCTCACCATCAGTCTGTTATGACTCCTCACTTCTTCATCGCCCAGATACAGAGCGGCAGCCCATCTGAGATTCTCTCTTCTAAGAGCAGCTGGAGGATTCCCACAGCCACCTGGATTTTCTGATAGGGCGTTGTTTCACTAACCATCGTGAGGTCATTTCCTGACGAATGCAGACATCTAATATTCCCAATTTCCCCAATATTTCCAATTTTCATATTAAGCTTTTGAGTCTTTGTTTCAAGTCCCATTTTCTGAACAACTTCACCTTGTAGAATAATCTAAATAATACCTCACTATGACTGGATTTATCTATGAGGCCATTCCATCTAAACTTTCCGATCCTGGTCTGCTATGGGTCTACCCTCTACCCTCTGCTTTGTGTCAAGTTGTAGACAGCATGGCTGGATAGAAGTCTCTTTTCATTAGAAGATGTGGAGCTGATTAGATTTCTGAACTTGACAAGCTAATTGATGGTTATTGGAGGAAAACATTTAATCACTCTCCATTTCGTGTCTGAGTAAAGATTGTTCAGCCAGGATGTCATGGTAATGAAGTGCATTAGAATGCATTACACCCATCGGGCTTAAAAGAAATCTGTCAGGGAACACACGGCGGGATTTACGAGTGAATGAAACTGTGATGGAGAACAGCAACGGGCCATAAGCCCCACCCCCTGTCCGAGAAGCCAAGACAGATCATTCTGTGCAATCTGAACCTGCAGGGAAGTGTGACGGCAGTAAGATGTCTGGCACTGAAGTAGTATGACAGTGACAGCTGTGTGCTCTCATCTGTGTGATTTTGGGGTGCATACTGCAGTGGTACGACAGTGATAGCTGTGTGGTCTCATCTGTGTGATTTTGGGGTGCATACTGCAGTGGTACGACAGTGATAGCTGTGTGGTCTCATCTGTGTGATTTTGGGGT